GAAAAAAGAAAGAAAGAAATAGGAAAGACAGAAAGAAACAAAGGAAAGCAAGCACGAAAGAAGCAAACTAGAAACAGTGACAGAAAGAAAAAAAGAAAGAAAAAGAGAAAAAGAGAATAAAAGAGAAAAAGAAAGAGAAAAAAGAAAAAGAGAAAGAAAGAAAGCTAAGAATGAAAGAAACAGACTAAGAAAAAAAAAATAAAAAGAGCGAGAGAGGAATCGCACAGAACCAAAAACCGGCCTTCAGAGGAAAGACACAAAAGAAAGAGTGAAAACGCAAAGAATCTTTCATCAGTAACACGAGTACATTCATCATCGGAAATTTTGGAAAACACCAAAGCCTTTACGAGCCAACGAGACACGTGGAGAAAATTCATTAGGTGATATCAAAGCGACAACAAACCGATTTCGATTTCCATACGTCGTATAGATGACGTAAAACCATCTCTCTGTAGCTTCAGATCACAGGAATTTCCTTTTTACGCTGAAATATACCCGAGACTCTTGCTCTAACTTTACCAATAAGACAAAAAAAAAAGTTGAAAGAAAAGCCATCATGTAAAAAATAACTTTTGATAGAAAATGCATACACGAGTGATTTTCACACTGGACGATTTGCAACGGACGTAAAGCTAAAATATCTCTATTGAATTATGATGTTGCAAGGTGGCCAGCTCCCTTTTGCCTCGTCACAGCATATGAATATTCTTATTATCATTTCTTCATTGTTCATTTATGTATCTATCTGTTTATCTATTTGCTTAGCTATCTATCTATTTATGTATGTATCTATGTATGTGGATGTATCTATCTATCTATTATCTGTTATTCATCTACGTCACTATCTATCTATTACTATTCATCTATGTATCTATCCATCTATTTCCTCTATAGAATGGGTAACATCATACCCGCTTTTCCAAGACAGGATATTTCATTCATAGTCTCCAAACACACAAAAAACATTTTTCGTTTGCTTGCGTCTCCCAAAAATCTTAATAAGATGATGAATAAGGACAAATATCTTGCTTAGTAATGAAAATACTTTCTTGATGATTGCAAATGAACGAGGCCTTAATGCAAAAAGCACGAAGAAGAGGTGACCTTTTTAGGGCGCTTGAGGGAAGGCTCTCGGAATCAATGCCAGTTTGGCATTGTGTGTGTGTCTGCACACACACACACACACACACACACACACACACACACACACACACACACACACACACACACACACATATATATATATATATATATATATATATATATATATATATATATATATATATATATATATATATATATATATATATATATATATAAATAGACACACACGTATACATATACATATAGCTATATAACTACATCAGAAAGATACAGACAGATAGGCAGATACAGATATAGATATACATATCGAAGGCCACCTTCAGTCGATGTCGACTATGGCATTATTGTCTCCACCCACTCCCGTATAGGTAGAGTCAGTGCCTGGGCAAAAGCATGTGAGTAACTGTTGCCCAAGCAGCAGGCTCCCTCTCTCACGCAGCTGATGGATCCAAAGGAACGACAAAGAGGTCGCAAGCGGCAACGAACTGCCTTCGGGACTCCGGCTCCGGATTTTTCCTCAGGGTTGACTCCCGAAGACTTTTCATCTTATAGATGCCACAAGGCAGTGGATTGTTTTGTATAGCTTTTGACCATGTACATAAAAAATATATACAGATAGACAGACGTGTATGTATATCCTTAAAAGCTACCTGCATACACAGCGCATTTAGAGGCAAGTACACCCCCCCCCCCCCCATACACACACACACACAGGTCTACGCATCCCTACATCTCCCTATCTGTCCGAAACACCCAACTAAAACATCCGTCCTGAACAGCGGGACCGAAAACCAATCTGGAGGAGCCTCCCTTAATTAATCATTTGACGAGCCTCCCTCTCGAGCAGCGGGGACACAATAGGCCCGGGCTCTCAGTGCCATTTTCAAGACGGTAATATCTGTTTTGCCGTTGATCATCCTCCGCCGTCTCCGAGCTGCTTCCCATTGTGCGAGTTTCCTTAAGGCTGGTTGTGATTAGCGTGTGTGTGTGTGTGTGTGTGTGTGTGTGTGTGTGTGTGTGTGTGTGTGTGTGTGTGTGTGTGTGTGTGTGTGTGTGTGTGTGTGTGTGTGTGTGTGTGTGTGTGTGTGTGTTAGAGTAAGTTGTGTTTTGAGATGGAGGAGGAGGAGGAGGAGGAGGAGGAGGTGAAGGAGTAGGAGGAGGAGGAGGAGGAAGATGTAGGAGAAAAGGAAAAAAAGATGATGAATACAATGAAAAAGAAGAATATGGAGAAGACAGGAAGAAATAAAGTAAAAGTAAAATTGGCAGTAAAAGAAGAATGAGAAAATGAAAAGGAGAACAAGAAGACGAAAAAAGAGGAAGAAGAAGAAGGAGGAGGAGGAGGAAGAGGAGGAGGAGGAGGAGGAGGAGGAGGAGGAGGAGGAGGAGGTGAAGGAGT